CAAACCTAATCTTCCTTCCTAAAACAATTTCATTTATCTTCTTCTTCTTTTCCTCGGGAGCTCGAAACCGGAAATTTTTCTCTCTATGAGGTAAGGGAAGCTAGAATTTATTGATTTTGGGCCAAAATATTGTATTGTTGCAGCAAATTACTGGTTGCATGTTGATTAAATTGGAGTCTGTGGAATTAAAAGAGGGATTTTGAATTGTTTGAAGAATGTGATGGTTTGGGTTGGATTCTTGTTGCATGTGGGGTTTGTGATGTTTGTTGAGTTGCATGTTGATGGTAGGATTGTCTTCTTGCAAGTGCAGGTGTTGGGTCCCTTTGGGTTGAAAATTTTGATGGGTTTTGGGTGCAAAACATGTGGGAAACCATGGAAGGGCAAAAAGTTTAATATGGAGTGTTGCAGTATTAGGGCTAGATGGCCGAAATTGGTTTTAAGGTCTTCATGAAATTTTGTAGCCTTGGATGTTAGCTTTCTAATGGCACCGGAATCACCCAAAAAGGAGGTCTGGAACTCTAGATATGATTGTTTTAGTGGGTCAAGCTATCAACTTTGGTCATAATTGTTGCAGTTTTTAAAATTTTTAACAAAGTAGATGATAGAATTAGGATTAGATGTCTTCATAAGAGTTGTAAAAAATCTTTTTTATATTTCATATGAGATAAGGATGAGCATGATGGGAGTAGTTAACTCCAGATTTGACTATTTTAGTGAACAGGGGTCAAGTTGTCACCATTGGTTGCAGTTGTTGCGGTTTTTAAACTTTTTTACAAAGTAGATGATGGAATTTGGACTGGATGTCTTCGTGAGAGTTGTAGGAAATCTTTTAATATTTCATTTGAGTTAAGAATGAGAATGATAGGAGTAGTATAACTTCATTTATACTATTTTATGTAAAGGCTGTCATTTCACAATTAGTGATTTGGTTAAGTTGAAAATTATTTTGAGTGCTTAGGTTGATTTATGTTGTTTGTGTGTGTAAGTTGGCATGATAGATGAGTTGTAAGCATGTACTATGAGTTGCATTATGATGGAATCATGCTTTGGAGTGCAAGAGGTGACATACTCAAAGAACCAAGAGGAGTTGGCTAGACATGAAGGTTTGGGCCAGTCAGGGCCCAATGGGCCTGATGGGCCTTCGTTGAACTTTTCATGGGCCATATTTTGTTATAGCTATTTTCATATGTTTTGTATACATCATGTTAGTATAGGTATCATATATTTTGGTCTTGTATTTTGGACCACATAGAGTAGCATTTTAGGTTTTAGGCTTGTTGGGCCTAGTTTTGGGCTTCATGGGCCTTTGGGCTTTTGGTACCCAATATTGGGCTCATTTTCATTCTTGTAATTTTTCCTTTCCATTGTAATTGTTTGACCAATGTAATTAGGTCATTAGAATAGGAAAATACAAGGAATACTAAAGTATGCTAATTAGGTTAAATTAGGTTTAATTTGGAAGTCATTTAAGTTACATTTGAGTCACATGTTTAGCACCATGGGTGGCTGAACATGTGCCACTCAAATTAACCCTAAATGACTCTCAAATCACACCTAAATGCACCTTGGTACCTAAATTTTCGGACTTACACATGTGCACCAAAGTTTGAATTCAAAATTCAAATTTGAATTCAAACTTTAGGCGCCATTTTGTGAGGCTTTAGTTTAGGCACCTATGGGTCACAATTCCGTGCATACTTAAGCCATTCTTTCACCTTTTGTATTCACTTTGAACCTTATATGAAATTTGAGAGCCAAGAGCCGAATTTCCTTTTCAAAGTCTTCTTGAGAATTCACCTCAAAAACCTAGGGAGTTCATCTTCTTCCTTCTCTTTGAAGTGAGTCTTCCATTGATCTTTGAGCTTGGATGCTTCCATCCAAGGCTTGAGCCTTCATCCATCCGTGTTGCTTCATCAATTAAGTTCCATTTCATTCGGTAATATCTCCTTGAAGAGGATCCGTGGCTAGGAGGAGCTAAGGAGAAGAACATTCATCACTTCTCACTAACCTCTTCCATCACATTATGTGATAAAAATGTTGTGTGTTAATAACTGTTGATAAAATATTGAATAATAATGTTCTGGGTGATTCTTTTGTGATGTTGATGGGATGTAAACGAGATGTATGAGTAGCTATGGTGTGTTGTGAATGTTGTAAGTAGTTAGAGATGATTGCATAGCATTGGTTGATGTGTGTTGTGTTGAAAGATGATGTTGTGTAGCATGATGATGATACTTAGTAGTGAGATGTGAGATGCATGTTGTAGTTGAATTGTGAAGTTGTGTAGTTGTGTATAGGTGCTAAATGAGTTGAAAAGTTATATGTTGAGTGAGTTGTTGTACTAAATAAAAATGTGTTGAATATGTGGTATGTTGTTAAAGTTTCTTTATGTTATGTGTTGACTATTTATATGTTGTGAAATGTGATGAGATGATATAGTTGAGAGTTGTGAAGAGCATAATGATAATGTTGTGAGTTGTGAGAAGCATGATGTGAAGTGTGTAGATGTGTTGAGATTTATACAAAAGTTATTAGTAGACTATGTTGTTAAATTATTAGATGAGAGTTGTATGTTGTTATAAAGTTGTATGTTGTATTGTGTATTGAAAAGATATTACTTTATGATGGTTGAGTTGTAAATTATGAGTTGAGCTATTAAGTTGTTGAGTTAAATGTGTTGTTTAAAGTTGAAATGACCTGATAGTTGAGATGATGAGATGATAGTTGAGATGATAAGATGATAATTGTGTTGTTGTGCTATGATGATGAGTTGTTGATCACTAAGACTATGGGAGATATTTTTGAAGTTGCTCATCCTATTGTATGGATTGAGAGTGTTGTGGTGCTCTAAGAGCCCAATTTGTTGAAAAATCCTCCTTGGAAAGTTGTCCCTTAGAGTGGATAATGTGTTGTTCTCCTCTAAGACTTAGTTGATCCCGTGTGTGAGCAAGGTCAAGGGACACCTGTATGAAGCGACCACGACATAGGGGTCAGGTCTCCCTATGATGATTTACATGTTTTATGTCTTATTTGATGGTGCAAAATGTGTGGGGATGCCTTATTTCCGTGTTAACATTAGTGATGTGTTTTATGAGTATGAGAAGACAAGAATCTCCAAATGATGATCTTATGAGTATGATTATGAGAAACGTGAAATGTGAACAAGTGACATGAGACATGATATGAATTACGTGCTATTGTAAATACTGTGACTATGAGAATGTGAAACGTGATAAAATGAGATAAGACATGAAATTCCATGACAAGTAAAGTGATGAGTCCATGAATTGTGAATGTGTGTGACATGCATCATATGCTTTTATGTGACGGATACGATATGAAGTACATCGTTAGGGAATGTCATCTTGTGTAACAGCTTGGAGGAGTCCTAGGGGATAGTGCGGTTTGGATGTCTCGATTTCTCCCGTTTGTGAGCACGAGACGTAACTTGCGCAGCTTCGCTATCCCAACCAAACCCTAGCAGTACATCTTTCTAGTTGAGAGTGTATGGGTAGCTCCCTATATGTAATCCTAAACTACCTTAGGTGTGTTGTTTAGGCAGCACACCAATGATATGTGATATGTGATTGGTGCCACATATATATATATGCATTTATGAGTCGAGTCCCTAACATCATTGCATGATAAATGAATGTGCATGTGATACTGAATGTGGATGTGTATTATTATATGTGATTGGTGTTTGTGACTTGTATTATATTTGTTGTGTATATGCTGTCTAACCTTTATTTCTGCACTTGAATCTGAGTGAGATGTTTTCCACTCCCTTGTTGTTCTTTGTATGTGTTTAAATTGTGTTGCAGGTGACTTAGGTTTCAGTTGGGCATGCTCTAACAGGATTTGTGACATTGGGGCATAGCTAGGCTTAATTTAGGATTTCATTATTGTTATTTTGTTTTGGAAAAACTCATGTTTCATCTTCTTATAAATTTCGCATTTGACCATACGAACGTGAATTATCTACTCTTATGTTAGTGGAACCATTGTTTTAATTCTAAAGATTTTTTTAACCCAAAAAGATGTTTTTTATAATTATTATATATATATGTTGGGTAGAAAGTGTCACACCCATAGAAAATTGTAACACAAGTTTGTGTTATATAAATAAGAAAAAAAATTACGCAAAACTTTCTTTCACAAAACTTACGTAAAAGTTATAATGAAAATTGACTTAAGAAATATTTAATTATAGGAAATTGAATTAACAACATAAATAATGTTGTAAATAAAAGCATAATAAAACATTAATTTTATTAATTATGGAAAAATTAATATAAATATAAATAAATAAAGAACAACTTCTCAAATATTTATTTCCAAACAACTTTTAAAACATTATTTCTCCTGTAATTTCCCAAAAAAAAATATTAATTAATTATAGAAAATTGGAACTGCAACAACATAATAAAATATTAATTATATTAGTTATTAATTCGGGATAGCTTTAAAATAAGTATAAACAAAAAAAAAAAATACACTACAATTTGTTTCATAAAATTTACGTATACAAAATTTCACGTATAAGACACTATAACTGAAATTCACGTAAAAAAATTGTAACCTAAATATCCCTGCAACATAATTTTAAACTATATTGATTTTTTTACATAAAAACTATATTAATTATAAATAGTGTTATTATGAGCATTATCAATAATTAAAAAAAAAGGTATCTTAATAGTAATCTAGAAAAAAGGTACATACTTCAACTTCAAGATATATTAATTATCATTTTCTTTTATATTCTAATGCTAATGGATTTATTGATGCATTAACAAATATATGTTATATTTATTGATGAAAAAAGTTATCTCTTAAAATTAGGTGTAGTGTGGTAAATGTAACTAGTATTTAAATAAATAAATTCAAAAGATGTTTTTGGAATGGAATTTAAATATATGACATTATTAATGAAAATTAATTATCTTAGCTACTTTTATTGAATTTTATAAATTAATTATTTTTTGTTTGTTTAAAAAAAAAAAAAAAAAACTTGTTAATCATTATGAAACTGTATGCAATCATGACTAGGAACAAATAAACTACTTTACATGGTCAAATGTTATGATCTATCCTTGATTCATTTAAAGCTCAATTTTAAAACAGAAATATATTACATGGAAAATGCTATCTACTATCTAGTATCCCGAAGATTCTATTGTGTAATTTTACTGTAGTCTTCAATGAAAATTTTCTCCATATTAATTTTTTAATCAGTACGCTTAGGGTTCTAGTTACTAAGTTAGCAAGACCCGTATTGTATTAATAAAACTTATCGAAGAATTAGAATATCTTATGGTAAAGTTAATGCAAAGAATCCATTCCCGGCATGACTCATAAATATTTGAAAAGCTGTTCACTGACTTCACAACTAACTAAACAAGCAAAACAACACACCTTGGTTTAACAATGGATGGAACCTCAGAGTGGCGAGGAAAAGCAGTTTGCGGAGAGAGGAAATCCATGGCAGTGGGGTTCCTTTGCGTCATGATGGTGGGAAACAACTCCATGGTTGTTGCAGAGTGACACGATGTTTCAGGGGAACCTGTGACACATGATGGTTCAGGAAACCTCATAGAGAAAACACGCAAGTCCATGGCAGTTTTGGGGCATATATTTTCTATAACCATCTATCTCGACACAAAAATATTCTCAGCACTCAAAAATGTCTTAAAACTAATCTCACCTTTCTATCATTTTCCCCCAAATTTAAAGAGAGAGAAAAAAATCCAAAACCGCAACATTTCAAGGAGAAAAATCTGGACAGTTAGGTTCATACCCAAAAGCAAAATATTTTCGTTTGACATTTTTTTTCTAGGCCCTCCGGATAAGAAGGAAAACTTGAAAACCATGTGTTAGATCCGGTTTTACTTTAGTATCCAATGTAAGTGGAGCAATTGAAAAACATTGAACCTAGATAAAAGTTCAAACCTAGGAATAAGGGGAAAAAAAATAAAACTTTATCGAAACCCACGATTTTCTCGAATTGCTTTCTTCTAATAGAATAAAATTGGTAACAAACGAGGGGGTAATAAGAAAAAAAAGGGTTGATTAGGAAAAAAAAAATGAAATTGTTACCATTTGGTTCGACGGCGCAACTCATTCCGAGACTAAGGTCTCCGAAGCTGCCCTTTTCCTTGAGGTATTGGCTCAATAGACTACAAGTCTGAGAGAAAGTTGACTTTTCCGCCGGGCGGTGGCCGGAAAAACCTGAATACTCCGATGAGCTTGACATTCTTCCCTCTGAGAAATGGTTGTTGGCGAATTAAATTTTGAGAAGACAGAAGCGACGGTGAAGAGAGAAGGGCTTAAGTTATTATATATAATAGAATGGTGAGAATGAGAATTTTTAATTGGGAGGAGGGAAAATGAAATTGAGGCACGAGGAATATGTGGGTTTGTTATTTTATTTATTTATTAATAAATGTTTTGTTTTTTGGGTTGGGTAATGGGTTGTTTCCGTGGTTGCCTCGTATGACCTGCCTTGCGGTTTGACATTACTACTTTATTGGTATTTTGTTAAGACTTAAGAGTAATTTGAAGCACGTGTTGTTTGCGTTTAGTGAACGGCAGCGGCAAAGGTTGTCGCGATTAGGTTGTTCTCTTCCCGATGACTCTGTCTGTCATTAAATGTGCCTACTTTATCGTTTTCCCACTTTGTGAACCGTTGCCAAGGCACGTATCACATGAACAAACCCTCTCTATTCAATTATATACGTATGTGTATTTCAATAAATCGAATGTTGCGTATACAGAACAAGATACTTGCATGGAGCGGCAAGCCACCTCCTATTATTCTTATTACACTCCACAAATGTTAGCCTTAGCCACGTCTTTTACAACATTCGGATTCATGGATCATCACACTTATATGTGTTATCTTACTTAAAATAACTCAACAACTTTCTCATAAATCTTCTGTGCAATCATTTTTCTTTTTCTATATTATCTATATGCAATAATTCTTTATTATTATAGTATTATTTCTTATGAGATTTCTCCAAAAATATATATATATTAGCTATAGCAAATTGAAACTATTTTAAAATGAACATAAATAATAAAATTACGCCAAAGAAATTTTTACAAAAAATATTTCACCCGTTGTAACACCTTGAATTTTATATCTTATAATAAATAGTATTTTAGAAATTATTTTCATGTTTAATGTATTTATTTTAGTATTTTTTATATTATTTAATTAATTATATAAGCTCTATTTTAATTATGTGACATGATTTGTTATTATATTTTATTTAATTAGTGGAGCAAGAGTTATTTTTATGAAATATATTTTATTATTAATAATTATGTTAAGTTATCTTATAAAAGGGAGAAGGTATGTTTAATATTATTATTATCTATGAGAAAGGAAAGAGGGATGTAGAGGTCTTTTGATATTTATTATTAATATTTATTTTATTAGTTGAGAAAAAGAAGGTTAAGAGAAGTTATCATAAGTTATTAAGGGTTTTCTCATTTCACGCTCTCACTTCTTCTCATTCCTCATTACGTGCTGTCTGTTTTGTGCTCTGAAGAACAAGGAGAACCAGAAGAGGAACAATCGAATTTTGTTTGTGTTTTGTCTTCCAATTATCAAGGTAAGGGGGAGTGATAAACCTCGCTCGGAAGTGTGAGAATATTGTTGGTAGTAGGATTGACTCCCAATCCATTGCCTGATGCATGCTTATAGGAACGGGCAAAATATGAATGTTTTTTGTTTTGATGTATGAGTTTTCTGCTGTATTCCTGGTTGGGTGTGATGCGTGAATATGTGTTTAATTTCAAAAATATATAAGTTTTGATATGAATTAAAGTGTTATGTGGGTTCTTGTGAGAAATCCTACGAGGAACAATTAGGAGTGTGATCTTTTGACAAGATTTGAGGTATTTTATGTAAAATTGAGTATAGATTTATGATATAGGTGTTATTTGGAGGATTTTTACTGATTAGTTTATATGATTACATGTTTGTTGTGAAAAATTGTCTGATTGCGAGGTGTAGGTTCGAACTAAAGGTGTTGGACGCAGTTCTTCGGGCTGGGCGCAAATTAATAGTTTTCCAGAAAAATTGAGTCGAGCTCAAGAAAGTTGCATTGGACGCAGGAAAGTCATGTCGAGCGCGTGTGAAGCTACGTTGGGCGGAATTATTTGCTTTAGGCACGACATTAAATTCGTTGGGCGCGCTCAGGGCGCGCCAGGTGTGATGCTCCGTTTTAGGTGTGACATTTAATGTGTCGGGCGCTAGTTGGGGCGCGCCAAGCGTGATCCCTATGATGATTTACATGTTTTATGTCTTATTTGATGGTGCAAAATGTGTGGGGATGCCTTATTTCCGTGTTAACATTAGTGATGTGTTTTATGAGTATGAGAAGACAAGAATCTCCAAATGATGATCTTATGAGTATGATTATGAGAAACGTGAAATGTGAACAAGTGACATGAGACATGATATGAATTACGTGCTATTGTAATTTGAGTAAAGTACGAAGTCGGGAGCTTAGTTCCTAACCGATTATCGGAGGGTTGTAATATTTTGAGGATAGTCAATAGGCTAATCTCATATATGGCTTAGTTGAGCTAGCTAATGTCGTGGTAGGCCTAAACCTGGTTGTCTTATCCTGACATAGTACTATACTTCGTTGTTTAAGTGGCAAAGTCTGAGAAACTATTATCGTGTTGTGGATTTTTATCCAAATTTGATGTTTACCTAGCAAGCCTAAAACGATTATGTGTTGTTGGTTCAGTAAGACCTAGCCACTTAAGCTGCTCACCCTGTGCTATAGGAGATCTTCGAGTTGAAATGTGTGATAATGCATATGTGTTGATGAGTTGATATTGTGATGATATAAGTTGTATGTGTTGATGTGTTGTGAAGGTGCTGTCGAGATGTATGTTGTCTATGTGTTGTGTGTTGCATGATAAATGAGCTGTTATTGTTGGTAGTGAGATTGTGTTACAAGTTGCTTTTATATTCATATGTTGTTTTACTATTATGTATTGTATGTTGAACAAGTATGATGATGATGATAGCGTTGCTAGATTACCTATGTTGTAAATTACTTTTAAATATGTGTTGTTGAGAGGTATGTAATACATGTGTTGTTCGTTGTTGTGTTGAATATGGTGACTATTATGATGAGTTGTATAGTGGTTTGTGTTACATGTTTTAAACATATGTGTTGATAATGTGTTGATCAGCGTTTAATGTGTTGGAATTAAGTTGAAATGATGTTGGATGTGAAGATGATTATATAGTTATTGTGTTGCATATTTAATTATTATGAGATATTTATTTTCTCTAACTTACCCTTGCATGTTTCCATGTGGTTTGGATTGTGATGATCATACGATGTATGAGAGCAGGGCAGGGATAAGTCGGGAGATAACTGTTAGAGACCACAGGAGGTGCTTGGAGTGAATATTTCTTTTGTGGACTACCTTATAGTAGCATATTTGGTTGTGTATAATTGAATTTTTTGTTGTTGTTTGTTTAGCAACTTATATTGTAAATATTCTTATTATACTATTTTAGTTTATATTTCAACAGTGAGCTGTGTTGTTTCGCAGTGTGACGGTCATAACGAGTCGTTACAGTAGAGAAAAAAAAATCTATATAAAAATAATATTCAAAAGTAGTTATAATAAGAACTATTTATATATATATATATATATATAATAGTATACATTTTAAGTGTTTATTATAGGTAAGAGATCGACCAAGTTTTCCAATAATAAAAACATTAATTTCTTGCAATCACTCATCGATACATTTCTTGAAATTTTACATATTTTAGTCGATGTAATGTGATGTATATGTTGATTATATATATATATATATATATATATATATGAGGAGGGATCTTTTTA